TGCTTGGCTATCACTTGGATATGAGACCGCCTGGTAACAACACTCATTGGCCCTCAACAAGGCCATTTCTTTCTTTCGATATCTTTCCTTGTTCCCATAGGCTCAAACAGGGGAGTGGATGTTTTCTTTACCTCGGAACCAGTTGGAGGTGAGTGGTCAGCTTCACACCCCTGTCGCTTTGCCCTCTGGGAAAGAACCCCCGGTATGCATTGGATAGGGGGCTGGGTGGGCCACAAAAACGGTGTGGACGACGTGGAGAAGTAACATTCTTTACCCTACCGGGACTCGAATTCCGAAACTGAATTTAACATCAACAAGAAATGTGTTTCGATAAAATGTGAGTTTAAGAGAACACGAGGGCACACTTTATGAACCCAGAGTGTAGGCTGCATAAAAAGATTTGCAAGCATGCGTTCTGTAAGTGTCAACAAGGTCTGTCTTATATGGGGAAAGGAGGCGCGTGGGAAGTGAGTGTATCAAGACTGGAATGATGCAACTTTGCGTCACAGTTTGTATTATTCATGAGACAGAAGTTCAAATCCCTCTTGATGCCTGTAAAGTGGTAACGCTGGATGTGAAGGAGGGACAGGAAGAAAGATCATATTCTTGGAATGTTTCCCGGAAAGTCCTTCAATCTCTCTGTAAACCTGATATTAGGCTTTCTGTGGAGTTCCTGGTAATCACATTTATTTCGAATAGGAATTGTAGCATAAATTATAACAGGCATTAATATGCTCAGATATTTGTTATGTCTGATATAATATTTCTGCCTCGTGTAAACCGAACTGCTGGGCCGCTGAAATCCAAAATAGGATGCAAAACTGGATGCAGTTTTTTTTTTCACTGTGGTTTATTGTAGATATTGACCCTGTTCTTTTGCCTTTGCACGGTGTGGACGTGAGCAGTGCAAGTCCTCGACAAGATCAACGTCAAATGGATTAAAATGAAGCAAAGTTGTTCCTGTGCCTCAAATAAGCACTATGCCATGAAGATGGCCGCGCCATAGCTCAAGCGGTTAGTCACTAGCTTCCCACGGCGGCGGCCCGGGTTCGATCCCGGGTCTGGTCAAGTGGGATTTGTGGTAGACAAAATGGCGCTGGGGCAGGTTTTCTCCGAGTACTTCGGTTTCCCCTGCAAATCTTCATTCCACCAATTGCTCCACAATCACCCTCACCTATCATCTGGGGCTGGTACAATAGGCCAGAAGTGGCCGCAGTACAAGGGACTTAGTCCCACCCCACTAGCAATAAAAAAAGTTCCGTGAATATATACGGGGGAGTGGATGTATATACCCACGTTTTCTTGACCTCGACACTAGCTGGAGGTGAGTGGTGAGCTTCACGCCTCGGCCCCCTCCCCCCCCCGGGGAAAGAGCCCCTGATACCCATTGGATAGGAGGCTTGGTGGGCCTCAGAGCCGGTCTGGATGCTGCATCAGCTGATATATTTTTAAAATAAATGTCTCACCTTTGCTTTCACCGCACCGAGGCAAAACAGACTGTACTGAATGCTGTATCCTATTGATCCAAGTAGGCCTATAAGTCGAGTTTTTTTAAATAAAATCTCTTCCAAATTTGGGGTCGCATTATTTTCGAGTCCTTAAGAATAAACATGATGAAGATGGTTGTGAGTTCCAGTGGCTAATTCTAATGACGTCTCTGAAAATGCATAGGCATACTTAAAGTATTAAATTCTGAAATTTATTATTTATTAATAATCTTTACAGCTGCACTATGGCCCTGGGGTTGACTCAGCCTCTAACAGAATTTAATACCAGAAACCTTCCTGGGGTTAAAGTGCGGCCGGAGGGCGCATAAAGCTGACAACCTCACCGCCATCTGTGAGCCGATTTTCAAGAAAGTGTGGGAACCCCAACGTCTCGGAATCCTACGGGCCTCTACGGCCTGTTACAGGGATTGCTTTATTTAGTTAATTTTTATTTTATCTTTGTGACGTCTCTCAGAACTAAACGGTGTATTCAATTCTCTTAAAGAAAATTTTATGATGTTTTCAGTGGAAAAAATAGAAGGTCGCCTTATATTCGGGGCCACTTTATTTCAGTGCTTATTCGGTATTTTTGTCCAGAAATGAAAAACCTTATTCTTCTTATGATATTGACAATTAAGCCTGTTCCGACCTCTTTCTGAACTTCTAAAATATATTTATACTTTTAAAATACATTTTTATCTCTGGGATGTTGTGTACTACAGCAGGAAACAATATTTTGCCGTAAAGGCGGGAGAGGAAATAAATATATGTGAGAAAAATATAACGCATAGAAAATACGGGAGAAAGGAGATGAAGGTACGAAAGGGGATAAAGGAAACGAAGAAAGGCACGAAGGATAAAAGCAGGAAGGAACTGATTTTTCATTCATTTATTAGCGGACATTATGCACGTAGTAAATACAAATTACATCTAATAATTAGATAAATTAATTTGGCTTGCAAATAATGCTATTCCCTGTACAGGTTTGCTGTTGTTGCACATGGGACGAACACTTTCCCTCTTACTCTTAACCATAAAATTGTTTTTGCTTCCTAATTCAATCCCCAGTTTACGTTTTCAATTTCTGATACGATGACTATCGTTAATCGAGCGCCGTAGAAACGGAAGGTCCTCAGTAACAACGGCTCATTTCGATCCCTATGCGCTCATTATTGTGGCTGCTCTCAACATCTATATTTCATAAAGGCCTCTACTCTCACTTCCTTCTAAAATACAGTAAACCCTCGCTAATCCGCTTACCGCTAATCCGGATCGAAATATGAAAAATGCTGTTCACGGTTGATGTATGCTATAAAAACACATGACATTTAGGAAGGCAGATGAATCACTTGTATGTTCAGGCAAAACGTGACAGTTTCTTCAAGCCTACATTATTACGCTCCAAAACAAGCACAAGGCACTATGCTACAAGCCTGAAGGTTGGCGGTTCATATCCCGATGAGGTCATTAGATTTTTTCAATTGACCTAATCCTTCCAGCCGCATCATGGTCCTGGGGTCGACTCAGCCTCTAACAGAAATGAGTACCAGGAATTAATTAATTAATTTTCCTGGGGAGTAAAGCGCGGCCGGCACGTAAGGCTGACAACCTTACCGCCATCTTCAAGCCGACTGTCTAGACAATGTGGGACCCTCAGCGTCTCACAACCCTATAGGCCTTCATGGCCTGTTACAAGGATAGCTTTACTTTACTTTTACTATCAATGTATAATTATATTGTTCTTTTATAATTTTTTATAAAAACTCTACACTTGATATTTTTATCATCACGACTACTTATGTCATTAAATTTTCCATTTATTTATATTTTTTTTTTTCTGTTTTTTTGGGGGGGGGCTACCTTTGGCTACCTTTCCGGATGAACTTTCCCCTCCCCAATTAACCCTTCTCTTCTCTTCATTCCGGCTCAAGGTGATAAGTTTCGTAATTGCTCAATTGGCACGGATAAAGCCAAGTGTCTTATCGAAGAATACCGCGACAAGAGCATTCTGTGGGATTTGCGGGATCCCAGTTATAAAGACAATCGGAAGAAGTTGAAGCTATGGGAGGAATTAGCCACGAAGTTTTAATGTTCTGTGAAGGAACTCTTAAAAAAGTTTGCGAGGTAGATCACTATTAATAAAAGCGTTCCTGCACCACTCTCTTCTCTGACGTTTCCTTCTCCTGCTCGAAATCAGATAAGCCGCAGCAGCAACTGCCTGCAGTGACATCTCTGCACAAGCTGACGTAAACATTGAAGCAACCAGTCGCTCTGGGTGTAAATGGGGTCGGTCGCATGCGGCAACGGTTGCTCCTGGCCGCATGCTGCTTGATAAATTGGAGGGCAACTAGGTTGCTTTAAGTTGCCCCAGTCCAGACCCGCCTTTAGGCGTTGCGTTTCATAAACGACTCCAACAGTGTGATTGTTCCAAGTCTCCGAGATGTGTGTGGCCATCTTCAAGGACGTCCAGGCGATTATAGAAGGAACATTTAAATTAGTTTATAATAAATTGTTCACAGATATATGTTTAACATAATACTGTCATTCAAAACCAAAGTAATCAGTGTTAAGTGGTTTCCTTGTCACCACTGCATGACACGTTGCGGAAGAAGATGTATACTATAATGAATACTGCCGTTCAGATTGGTGACTGGGCGTGGGTCTAACAACCCGAAACGTCGAACACGGCCTCAGACTTGAACGGATTATTTGGAATGGTCTAAAAAACGGAAAATTGAAATGAGAAGTGAACTGGATTAATCTGGCTTAGAATAGGGACTAGCGACGTGGTCTTGGGATCACGATAGTGGACCATCACGTACGAGTTGCTGAATAATTGTTACCCCCTCCTGAACGACTTAACTTCATGGATTGAATGAAAGCAATACCGGATTATAAATCATATAAGTAGTGTTATTCATATTCTGTGCTTCCATATATTTATGGCGGCTGTTTAATGGTATCTGACCGCCTCTCTGGTCTAGTGGTCAGAGTTCCTGACTACAGATCCAGAAGTCTGGGTTCGATTCCCGGCGCTACCAGATTTTCTGAAAAGTAGTGGGTCTGGAATTGGATCCACTCAGCCTCATGAGGATAATTGAGGAGCTATTTCAAGAAAATAACGACTCCGGTCTAGAAAACTAAAATTAAGGGCCGTCGAGATTCGTTGCGCTGACCATGTGACACCCTCTAATCCGTTATGTTGGCACTAACTTCACCGACAAGCGGCGGTCACTCGGTCGGTATAGTAAAACCACGGAGTTTGTTTAGTGGTATCTGGCGACGTGTCCTTCGGTAGAGTTCAGTTTTTTTTTTTTCATGTAGCTGAACGACATCCCCCGGAAGATGGACATAAATGGCCGAAACATGTTGGGCGATAGGATAACTTATAGATTGAAGGTCTAGTTGCATAAGATGGTTCCTCTTAGCTCAATGCATCCAGTCCGATACATAAGTTATCGAGTAGTCTGAAGGTTCGGCAAACTAATGAAGTTTCCCTCCTCATCCACTCAGCGATACTTCTCGTCATCGCGGGATTCGCTGGCAGCTGCCTATGTAAACCGGGCTGCGGCTGTTTCGTCTACTGCATCCGAGCTGGATCTGAGTCGCAAGACGCGTCGGCGCGACCTGAGGGGGCGTCTCAAGTTGCCAGCTACCGTCACCCTAGCGTCATCCACCTGTGGAAACGAGCCACCACTGCTCGGACACTGGGGACATCGTGGGGCATCGGGCGGCGGGCCAGGTGGCACGGGTAAGTATGTGTCATTTGACACCAGCCTCCACTGTTCGTATGGACAAGACAGCGCGGCACATCGGATGACGGACTGTCTCAACATCATCCACTGCTCGGACACTAGAGCTGTAGTGACGTATCGGGTGGCGGCATAAGTGAGATGGGTAAGTTTGTGTCGCTTGTTACCAGCCGTCGCCGGTCGAACACGAGAGAGATTGCTGCTCATTGGGCCACGGACCAATAGACGTGGGTAAGTAAGTTTGTTTTACAAAATCAATAGATATCAAACTCATTAAGAAACGTCGGCACCAGCCGCCACTGCTGCTGGTGCTTTTCGCAATTGGTTAGTTTCTACATTCATCCGTCTTGTGGCCAGCTCGAAGTGGGCGAAAGCATTTGATAGGATACAAACAGAGCACAGCGTTTTTCCATCAAAATAAATCACTTCAGTAGGAATTTGGTATCTCGGACTAAAGAATTTCTGGCTATGAACTAGCTGTTTCCATGGAAATGAGTTTCAGAACTAATCTCATTAGTTATAAGTGGATCAGAGGACGGCTACAGTAGAAGACAGTGTTTTGGTGTTAACAGCCTCGTCTGTCGGTATTGCCTTGTCAAATTGTGGCGATGAAAACCGCGTAATTATGTCTATAGTTATCAAGCTGTCATTCCAGCTCTTTCAGTCAAATGGTGATTTGACAAAAAAATTTCAAGAGCTATAAGAGTTAGCCAGGTGAAGGGTTACCTGTGGAAACTGTAAATACGGATTTGGACTGTCAGATTTCACTAGTTAAAATCACGAATGTTGACTCAATCGACTTTTAACTGTACCATAACTTAAGCAAATCCTTTTGCCCCCTTCTACCAATCAGAGTATATAATTCTTTTCCAAGTTCTTAGAACTCATACGTCAAGTAACCGTCATTATAATTAACTATATTATAATGTACTGTCACGTGACGGCTGAAAGGCGGTATAGTGAAGCCAGAGCCAGACGTCCGTTGTTGAGCAACGGATCGCAAATCACATTCTCGTTAAATGAATAGCAGCGAACTAGTCGGTGCCAGGTAACAAGTGCTCAACACAAGATTCCCGTGACAACCAACAGGACAACAGGAGAATCAGTCGTAGAACCAGAAGCAGAACGAAGAGAGGTCTCGGCGGTCAGGATTGGTTGTGAGCTGTAATAATTGTCTGTAATTCTAAAGAAGTGCCAGTGAACCCAATCATCAAATCTAGAACCCGTTATTAGTGACGCTAACCCCTCATACGTGACAGTATCAAGGTTGATGACAGATAATTAATAATGCAAACTGTTGTCACTTGGTATGTGTGAATATAGACGGGGTTTGGCTTGGTGAATGGATTCATAGACCACTTACAGGTCGCAACTACAAATAACTATAACACTGTCGTTATTTCCACAATTTACAGTTCACTAGAGCACATAGTTCTCCGTCTGTTACAAGACGTTTCTTGGTAACGGCTCCAACAATGGCTATTCCTCTGCCTCCGGCTCAAGTCTTCTCTTCACAGACTCCCATACAAAATTCATTATCAACTGACCAAGCTCGAAACCTCGTCTCGCTTATAACCTCTCTGCACTGACCACGTAGAAAATATTGCTCTTCCGCAGTTGTAATCCAACTGCTGCATTATTAAGAATCTGCTGTCTAACAACTGGAACGTGTTTACCGAGCCGTTGCCCAGAAAGTGCCCTGGTATATCAGCTCATCTCGCGGTAATTGCATAGCAACGGTTGTGCACGCTACACGATGTTAACAGAATGGGAGATGGTCACATTCTTGTCCTGAGAAGGCTCTATAGGTCCATCTTGCTGTTAGAGCACAGGATGCTCCATCCGCCCACTTCCTGGAAATTCGCATGTACAGAGCAGGCGATGTCGCCTGTGGAAATGTGACACGTGACAGTTCTGGAGCGTAGTAAGTCAGGAGGTGACGTGTTGGAGACGCGTGCCATGATTATCAGAGATTAGTAAAAGTAAAGTTGTCCTTGTGCATAATTAATTAAGCACTACGCCATGAAGGCGTATGGGAGAGTGGATGTATAGATCCACATTTTCTTGACTTCAGCACTAGCTGGAGGTGAGTAGTCAGCTTGACGCTCCAACCGCTTTACCCCCAGGGAAAGAGCTCGCGGTACCCATTGGATAGGAGACTGGGTGGGTCCCAGAGCCGGTCTGGACGAAGAGGGGAAGAGAAAATTCTTTACCCTACCGGGACTCGAACTCCGACCCATTGGTAGTCCAGCCCGTAGCCAGTCGCTTTACCGACTACGCTATTCCGGTTCCCAATCAGAGATTAGAGCGCTATCAGAAACACCGTTTGGTATTTAAGGTCCAAAGTCAACACTTGTGGTTGATTTGGAGACGTAAATATAGGAAACCTCCTAGATTTGTAAACTAAGCCGATAAGAGATGTTTGTAGGAAGGAAATTGTCCGGTGTGTGGATCTGTGAGGAGACCTCTGTCCCAGTAGAGTTCATTTTCGACGGAACACTCTGCATCTGACTTTTGAAACGTAGAGACTCAAACCTGTGTCACTCCGTCTAAATATTGTAGCATATATACCCGTTGCTAGGCAACGACCGCGAAACAAGGAACTGTGCTACAGCTGTTGCTAAGTAACTGCTCCGAAAACATGTGTGTTTCCACGGCAAAGAGAGAGCAGCTATAATGGAAGAGACATTTTCTTCGCGGTCTGTGCTGAAATGTTATAACCAGGACCAGTTAGCAGTTTCAGTCAGAAAACATCTGGGGTTCAGTCTGAGCTGTTGCTGTTAGAATCCGGCAGCTGAGGCCGGGAACAGTTTGGGACACCAGAGGAAGGGGAACGTCTGTTATTGAAGTTGCTACCAAGTAACGGCAGTGAAGACGTGACTGTGGGCACTAGTGTATGTGTAATATCGAACTGTAAAGTATAGTCATGTGCTGTTTCAGAGAGCCCAGTAAATCCCGTCATCAATCCAAAACCTGTCTGTAGTCACACTCCATACATGTGACATTATAATGACTTAATCACTTTGTCACCAGTACATGTTCATTAGCTTAACAGAGTGGGTTTAGTAAAGCAACTTTAACTCACAAAAATGGTGGTGTGATTATAATATTAAAATGAATCGAATAGCCGAGATTGTTAGTGAACTGTATCAGTGTATCTGTCCACTTCAGTACGCTTAATAAATAATCACCTTTAAGTACGAACTGTTGTCTTGAGGTGTGAAGGGGGTATATCATTAGTGTTCTTCCTGCCTGCCGGAGGAAGGCATGTTAATACCACGGGATACGATCTCCGACCTACCGAATTCTGAACAGAACCAGACATCTTCCAACCAATCTTTACATATAAGCACCCTCTAATTGTAAGCGAACCTACTCTGTGTTTGCTGGCGCCCAATACAGAACCTTGGCTTCCTGACCTATTATCTCAACATCAACGAAAGGCAGAGGGTAACGGGTAAAGACAAGCTGAGATGTCTTCAGAGACCAGTGGCGAGGCAGCAGCAGTTAGCGTTACGGTGAGTAGGTCTGACTCTTCGAGGAGGTCCATCAACTAAGAGTTATATACAGTGTCTCAGGAGGAAAGGTCAGTATTGTGGGAGGTCATTGCACTGGTCATTCTAAGCAAAAAAGTGTACATGTACATGTGTCTATTCGGAACGGTTTCCGAGAGAGAGCTATTTCACTGCACAGTACACTGTACACTGTACAGACGAGCAGCTCGCCACGTCCTCACACGAGTTGCAAAGTGCACTGATGTTGACGGTGGAATTTTCGAAAATGTATTGCACTAGGTAAAGTGTACCAACTTTGTCACTTGAACAATAAATACCGGTATTAGAAACAGTACGAAATATCTCTTTCTTATCAACAATTTTGGAATTTTTTGATAACAGCTACACACGACGCAATAAGAGGAATTTACCCATCACCGTAAGACACATGGGCGCATAGACGAGGACGTACCCCAAAAACTGAACTTACGAACGGAAACAGATCAGTTTCATCAGCAATTGTGGGGACACCTGAAGGCGACGGCTCTTGGTCATAGCGGTGCGCATATGCCTGTGATGTAGAAGAGATTTTAAAGTTTAAAACTTTTAAAGGTTTTGAAAAGCAAGTTCTATGTGAGACGGTTAGTAACTAACAAGAAGTGTATCAGGTATTTAACTTCTGAGGTGAAATCTTAAACATTTTGAGCTATGATATAAAGCGACAGATATCTGAATTTTTGTTTCTTCAGATTCAAGCTCGAGGAACCCGACCGATCGAAGCCCTTCACTTATCCAGTTGTTCATGTAGACAGGGCATTTGTGAATGCAATTAAGGTGTAAAGTTACAGTTGAGGAAATCTGCGCTGTGCGTGATGTTATATTGCAGAATTTTGTTGCAGTGTGTCCACAAATTGCAGTGTATTCACTGCCGTCTCGCGTGCAGCTCACGCTAAATCCTTTAAAATTAAAAATTTTAATATTTTAAATTCTCAGACTTTTAAATTTGTATGGCAATGTACAAAAGTATATCAACTTCTCCAACAATTTTAATGCACCTGATGATAACCCAGTAGGCTGAAACATGTGGAATACATGTGTGAAATAAACACAGCTTGGAAGAGCAGAGAATAAAAAAAACAAAACAAAACAAAAATATATATATATTTTTTTTTAATTTTAAAATTTTGATTTTTAGAACTTTTAGCGTGACTTCCACTTGAGACGGCAGTGAATACGTAGAAATAGCTGTGCACTCTGCTGAAGCCTGCTGTTTTACTGCAGGTTCAGGCTCGGGCAACCAGAATGGCACGTCATCATGCGACGGCGGTGACCGCTATCAGCACCGCCGAAATGGCTACTATCCTCGCTTGAGGGCCGGAGCGCCCAATTGGTCCTTCGTGTTTGACCCAGCTGGACGCCTCTGCTACTACTGGTCCATGGTAGTGTCACTCGCCTTCCTGTATAACTTCTGGGTCATCATCTACCGCTTCGCCTTTCAGGAGATCAATGGTGAGTAGCCTGCAGTGATTGCCGCTACACGTTCAGCAGAAACGTCAGATATTCCTGTCAGGTTGGGGCAACCAACAAATACCAAGTGTCGAAAATTTCGACAGTCTCAAACAGTTGCTTTGTCTGACAGCATGTGGCAACTTTAGAAATTTTATATGAACCACAGAGCGAAAATATATTTGGGAAATTTTTCGTTACAGTTGAATTTCTTGTTTATTCGTATATATAGGTACAGTTATTCTTGTTAACAGGCCTTGGAGGCCCATACGTGGGCTGACAATGAAGTTCGGGAACTCATCGCGGTAAAAGTGCTTCGAAACGCTGATATGCCAACGACATCAAACCGTACTGAGATCTTTGTCCACTGCTGCTACGGCAAGCACAGTGGAAAGTTCACGAACTTTATTGTCAGACCACTTAGGTTTGTGAGACATCGAGGCTCCCACATTTTCTAGACAGTCGGCTCACAAATGTTAGTGAGGTTGTCAGCCTTACGCACCGGTCGCCATTTATCTCCCAGTAAGATTCCTGGTACTCATTTTTGTTAGAAGCTGGGCCGACCCCAGGGCCATTGTACTGCTGGAAGGATTAGATCAATTGAAAAATCCAATTATCTCAGCGGGAATCGAACACGAGACCTCCCGGCTAGTAACATAGTGCCTCAACCAACTTTGCTAGCGCGTGTCCCGTGGTATATACTGCATATACATACTTGTGTGTGTGTATATGTATATTATTTACTCTCGAAGGAAGAGCAGCTCTGACCGACTGAAACAGTTCCCCCCCCCCCTTCCGAAACTTATACCTCATGGGCAACATGTTGCCCGCACCACAGCTACATGTTGCCTGCGAAGACATTTGGAATAAGAACACGCCTTGTAATTCTCCTTGAAAACTGGCCGATAGATCGCTGAAGCAGTTCAACCCTTTTCCTGGTAAAGTATGGAAGAAAACGCAGAACCATTTCCATAATCCCAAGTGGCCCTACCATAAATCCTTATTGCTAGAGATACTTCTTTGCCAGGATTGAAATAACTTCGAAGAGTTTACATCTCAGAAGATAGAAAACTTCCAAACCACCACTCTGAGATCCTGAAACAACTTGTGGTATCTGAGGATCTCGCAGTGGCGGTCTTCTGGGATATAACGTCGTGTAGTCCGTTGAAAGTCAACCGACGTTTCGGAGGAAAATATTGCCATCATCTTAGCAGGGTCGAATATTAGACCGAGCCAGAAACCAGTGTGAAAGCAAGTGGCATGCAGAGCTTTTGCTCAGCGACATTTTCCTCCGAAACGTCGGTTGGACTTTCAACGGACTACACGGCATTATATCCCAGAAGGTAGTACTGTTCATCTTCAAAACGACTGCCACTTTTGATTCTTTCAAAGTAAAACTGAACTTATGCTCCAACCAAGGTTCATAGTCCCGCTTAGGATACAGTTGATGCGCCTGCCTACACTGTGCTTATTGATAAACTATTAAATGAGGCCGAAAGACAAATTTTAAAGACTTTGAGCGCATGAAGGTCTTGCGTTACTAATCTCTTTAAAGAGAGGAATATAACTAAGAGTGTTGGACTTAATGCTACTGTTTCCGAGGAAAATGTGACTGAACTAGAATTTGGTGTAGAACTGTCCCTTTAATAGGTCGTGGAAGCCCATAGGGTTTTGAGCCGTCGAGGCTCCCATATTTTTTCTACAAAATCGGCTCAGAGATGGTGAAGTTGTTAGCCTTACGCTCCGGCCGCCCTTTACCCCGAAGAAAAATCCTGGTACTCATTTTTATCAGAGGCTAAGTCAACCCCAGGTCCATAGTGGAATGATTAGGTGAATTGAAGAATCCAATAATCTCATCCGGAATCGAACCCGCGACCTTCCGGCTTGTAGCATAGTGCATCAGCCAACTACGCTACAGTGTGCCTCGAGCCAGAACTTGAGATTATCAATTTGGAAACAGGCCTATAATTGAAAAGGAATTCATGTTTCACTTCTACTTAAGCGAACCAGGGGTTTCAGCAGTGAAAATACTGAGTCAAAATACAGATCGTCATTGCGTGATGAACATTTTCACTCTTAGCTATATTCAGTCATAATTGTAATAAGCTAGCTGAAGAGAACTCCATAACTTTTTTCAGATGGACCGTTTTCCTAAGAGAACCTTACGTGAACTCACGTTGAGTTTTCTTGAATTAACAAAGCAAACTACACTGTTTGTTAAATGGACTCCATATCTGTAAATCTGCCGTTTTTCATGTTCGATTTGACTATTCTGTGGTTTTTCTTGTTGAAGTTTTTATGATAAAAACAAAATGAACATGCGAATGAGCTTATATCTGGGGTTTCCTTTAGGTTTTACCTCATAAAATGCTGCGATCACATGATAGTTACCAACCATTGCGAAGTGATAAATGGTAGCCCAATAGCACCATCGGAGGTTTACCGTATCGTAACGTAGCAATGGATGTTTCTTCTCGCACCACAAATCTAACTTTGAGCTGTCATGTCACAATATTATATTCATATATTCTTTGCTGCCTTTCGCTGCATTGCGACCCTCCTTAAGAAACTGAACACATCAGTAATGAATTATGCTTGCCCCGCCTGGAAATTAGCAACAGACACCCACCTCTTATAAGTGCAGCGCGTACAAAACAAGGTTCTCCGCAGCACTGGAAAATTTCTAAGGTGCACACAGGTCCGCGATTTGCACACAGCTTTCAGCCTTCTTTATGTATACGATTATATAACGAAAGTGTGCAGGAAACAAGCAGAAGTCACGCAAAATCATAAGAAAGAACGTGTTCGCGGTATAAGATAAGGCGAAGTCAGATATAGAAAATAAAAGACGCTTAAACTTGGCGGTGGTCAAGCTTTCGACTGTTCAAATGATTAAGGTGCCGTTGTAAGCGCCCTCCGTAGTCTAGGGGTAACGTTCCCACCTCATGACTCAAGGTACGCGGGTTCAAAACCCGGCGGAGGTCGTAGAATTTTTAAGGGCGGAAAAATTCAGGGAACAAGTCCTCCGGGAGGGACTTTATGCCGTGGGTCCCGTGTCGTAGATTTACGGCACGTAAAAGAACCTCATGTCTCTAGGAGACCTCTGAGCTAAATTAGGCCAAGTTTCCCACCCAACTAGTTTCCAATTCCTCCGGTAGATGGGGGAAGTATCAGGTATCACTGCCAGAGGAGGGGGACCTCTCTGACAGAAAGGGACTAAAGTATTAGATACCACTGCCAAGTAGAGGGTAGAAACCTTGCTGGCAGAAAGGGACTAGGAACCCCTGCCAGAGGAGGGACGACCTCGCTGACAGAAAGGGACTAACTATTAGATACCACTGCCAGTAAGAGGTTGGCACCTCGCTGGCAGAAAGGGGCTGATAGTAAGCACCAGTACCGGTAGGGTATGGAGACAGTAGAAATTAAAGGGGGACGCACAATGGACCAGTAATCGGTCTAAGTGCATGGTGAAACCCACCCCCTCAATACGGAATACGGAAGCTGCCGTTGTAGCATAAGACATATAAGATAGGCATGATCTGCTCTGCAAGGCCTGCAAAAGGAAGAATTTTCAATAACATTCCATATGTGCGATACGTACACTTGATGAAAGGCCAAGCATATTCATAAGAGACAAACCAAACAGTTTTTACGTCCGAAATAAAATCAAAGCAACGCGAAGTAGCTTCTTAAACGTCCCATCAGTGGATGAATGACTTCTCGCTACGCTCACGCGTATACTCAGCCTACTAAGGGAACGAGGGGTCATCATCATCATCAGTTAGTGACGTAGATCGTCACGTCATTATTATACCCTATTTTCTACATTCCACTCGCATTCATACGTCAGTGGGGAATACAAACAGTCTTTTTTTTTCCTTGGCACTACAGCCCCAGTGGGCCTAGGCCTACCTCCATGAACTTCTCCGTTCACTTCGATTTTTCTAGATCTTACACAGTCGGTAGTATGCTTGGGCGGGTGATCAGCTCGTCGCAAGGCCTCTACCTGTAGACAAACACAGAAAAACGCAAACAAACATCCATGCCCTGGTTGGGATTCGAACCCACGATCCCGGCTTCCGAGCGAGCGAAGACAGTGCATGCCTTAGACCGCTCGGCTACCGTGACCGGCACAAACAGTCTTACACAGTTAAATTTTCTGGGCCAGAAAGCCGCCTAGTATGTTCAGAGTCAACCAGCTACCTGCTTCGTGCTGGTTTCTTGCTTGCTTCTTCGACCTCTGAGATGGAGGCGACATTTTCCTTCGAAATGTTGGTTCGCTTTCAATGGACTATACGTCTTTATATCACAGAGAATAGTATAAATGTTCATAACAACTGCTGTGAGAACTCAAACCCTACATACACATAATGTGGCATGTCTATTGAAAGCCAGAATTGTGAAGCCAACAGAGACAGCCGTTACTATGGAGAGGCTCGACAGACACACCTTTTGCTAGGCAATAGTTAAGTAGCCGTCACGTGACCGCCGCAACAGACACGCAAGCACAGTAGAACTGTTGGAAGAGGTGTTTTTTGAGCGGTCCGTTCTGAGGCTACATAACGAGGATCAGCTGCCATTACGAAAGAGCCTTGAGAGAGTAGTTAGAACAGTAGGAGGTTGATGTGAGATGGCCGCCATCCTGCGAGGACCTGAGCCCGGTAGCAGAGGAACGTCCACGGTTGAGTCAGTTGGGAGTTGCAATTGTGAGAAGTGAGAAGCTGGTAGCTGAGGCCGGGGAGAGTTCGGGAACTTAAAGGAAGGGGTATGTCCGCCTATGAAGCCGCTACGAAGCAACGGTTAGTGAAGACTAAGAAGACTTTATGTGTGCTGTATTTACCATGAACTTTGGAGTGTGTAACTCAGTGAGACCGTCGTAGTTATTTATAGTTACGAGTTTTTTAAGAGTTCAGTAAATACGATTACCTGGGCCGCGCCATAGCTCAAGCGGTTAGTCGCTGGCTTCCCACCGCGGCGGCCCGGGTTCGATCCCGGCGTGTGGT